TGAAACTGTATACCAAAAAAGGAAGAAAGAAAAGCTCAGCGCAAAGGCCTTGGTTCACTCCCCAGTAGTGCAAAAAACAGAACTTGACCAAATTTATGAAATAGTTGTTTTCAAGACATTAGGCAACAAAGAACAATGATTTCTGGGAGACAGGAGACAAGGCGCCTACTGCTCTTGACCCATCTTATTGCCTCAGAGGGAATTTCTGAGTCATGGCTTTAGGGTGAATTCTGCCAAATATTTAAGGAAAAAATCATATTAATTCTATATAAACTATTCCAGAAAAATACAGTACTTCTAAACTCATTCTTTTGAGTCAGCATTATTGTAATAAAAAACTAGTCAGAGACATTATAAGAAGACAACATTTTTTGGTGGGGAGGGCACCAGGAATTGAACTCAGGACTTTGCACTTGCCAGGCAGGCATGGCACCACTGAGCTAAATCGCCAGCCCAAGGAAAGCACATTTAAAACCAGTATACCTCAAGAATATAAAAGCAGAAGTTCAAAATAAAGTTTTAGTAAATCAAATCCAACAATTTATCTTTGATGTTACACCATGATTAAGTGGAGTTTATCCTGAGAATGAAAGGCTAGTTTAACATTTAAAAATCAATGTAGCGCCTGGGATGTTGCTCAGTGGCGCTGCACCTGCCTGGCAAGTGCAAGGTCCTGAGTTCAATTCCTGGTACCAAAAAAAGAAAAAAAATCAATGTAATTTACTATATTAAGAGACTGAAAAGGGAAAAAACTACATGGTCATTTCAAGACAGAGAAGAAAAATAGGAAAAAATCCAGTATCTATTTTTCCTTTTTTTTGGTACCGGGGATGGAACTCAGGTCCTTGTACTTGTGCAGCAGGTGGCGAAACCACTGAGCTAAATCCCTGGCCCCAGTATCAATTTCTGATAAAAATTTTCAGCAAACCAAGAGTAAAGAACATCCTCCACTTAACAAAGGGTATACAAGGGAAACTTAACAATACTTAAAATTGAATTCTGAATATGTGAACTTCTTAACAGCTTTATTGACATATAATGATGTAATGATAAAGAATAAACTGTGCACAAAAAAAAGAATAAACTGCACACATTAAACTGTATACTTTGAACCATTTTGACAGCCATGAATTCATGATCACTATCAAGATCATGAATATATCCATTCTCCCCCCAAATTTTCTTAACCACTTTATACTGTCATCCTGTCCTCCCTTCTCTTTTGTCTTTATTTTTCCAAGCAATCTACTTTTTGTCCCTATAGACTTTTTGTGTGTTCTACAAAAAATACAAATATATAAAAATATAGAATCATATGGTAGTTGCCATTTAAATTTTTTTTGGCTTTCTCCATTCAGAATAATTATTTTGGGATTAATCCATGTTATATGTATCAATAGTTCACTCACTTTTTATTGGTTAGTAATAGGTATACCATAGCTTGTTTACATAGTTTGTTTATAGACATTTAGATAATCTCCAGCTTTAGCCTATCACAATCAAATTAACGCCCCTTCCCCACCTACCCCAAGTTAGAAAAACTATGGATGTTTTTATTCCTATCTTAAGTAGCAAGAGCAGGTGTCAGTTTCTAGATTCCTACGTACCAGCACCCACAGGACAGATAGGTTCTTTTGGGATGCTTCCCTAAACTTCACTGCAGATGGCAGCAGCTGGTCAGGTTTGGATTTTCTGAAACTCAGTAAGGAGTTTCAGACATGGTGATGATGATGACCACGACGACAATGAATACAGCTTGCTGTGTACCAAGGTCTGTTCTAACTTCTTCAGATGAAGTACATATTAATCTCACAACAATTTTATGAAGTATGTATTGTTATCTTCCTCATTTTACAGACAAGGGGACTCAAACAGAGAAGTTAGGTGGTTAGTCCAGTGCCACACAGCTAGAAAGTAAGAATTGGGAGACAAACCCAGCATCATTTCTCTTAATTATGATGCTACAGTACTTCTCAGTTTTTCCTTCTTTCAGAGCCCCTGCTTTATTTGAGTGATTTTCTTAATACTTTTCCTCTCTTGGTTTTGGGAAGAGGAAAGGACCCTACCCTCCACTCTCGTAAGGGTGAAGGTGGAAGCATCTCTTACCCCATGCAGTGCTACTTTATCAGGTCAGCGCTCATGTTAACACTTCCCTTTCCCTCGCTAAGTCCCCCAGGACTGGAGATGGGAGCGGGGAGTGGCAGGGTGGTGGTCATAAAGTCAGTTCTCTGTTACCTCTTATTAAATGGTGAAAGAATTCTTTGGCTCTCTTTAGTTGTTTTGTCCACTCTGGGCCTTGGACACCAGTGCTGGGGTGGGGGAGAAAGAGTTACATTTTATTAGAGGCTGTTGTAATTGGGGACAGAGGATAGTGGCTTGGACTAGGATGGTAGTGAAAATAAAGAGAATCAGATGAATATGGGACGTAGTTTGGACATAAAGGCAGCAGGTCATAGCGGTGGATTTGATGTGGGGGAGAAGAATAAAAGGAGTCAGAGCAGAAGATTTTGGCTTGAGCAACCAGCTGGATGGAGATATCCTTTACTGAGATGGAGGAGACTTGAGACAAAGTATGGGAGCATGAGCGTGGATGCGTCATTAACAGTACTGTTTTACGTGGTTAGACAAGTAGAGAAGTAGAGAGAGAAATAGAAAGTTGGATATAGGAGTGTAAAGCTTAGTGGGCAAAGGCAAGGCTAGACCTATGCATTTAAAGCCATGTGATAAAATAAAATTAATTAGGAAGAGGATGAGACAAAAGAGAAGGCTGAGGGTTAAGCCTCACTTCCTTCAGTATTCAGAGAAAGAGTCAGCAAGACTGAGAACACGGGAAGGCAGGAAGAAAGCACGGGAGCATGTTCTCTCTGTCCCTAGATGGTTTGAGTATCCCACAGGGAATGAGGCGTCCAGTTGGCTCAGCTGTTTTCAAACAAATGCTGAACTCAGGCTGTCTGATGTATTAGAAATAGAAACAAAATTTGAGGGAGAATATAAAGTTGAGACTTTAAGATTTCTTTTATCCAGATAAGTCTATCACTAAAATTCTTATTCCATGAATCTTAAATATGAATGTAGAAAAAGAAAGCATTTTTGGTGGAGAATTTAGAACACATACCTAAGTTCTCAGTCACTTAACTCACTTGCATGTAAAAGTTTCTCTTCACACTTTGCATTTTTTTTGTGGGAAGAACATACTGAAGCAGGAGATGAAAAACTGGGATGCACATGTGCACACACATCTATTTAGTTCATGATAAAAAGAATATGATAGAATTCACTTATAACACAGATCTGTAAACATAAACAGAAATTTCAGCTAACTTGTTTTCAGTGGTGATCCTATTTTAAAAAAATTATTAACTTCTTGCTCTTTTGTAAATAGTTAAGGCTGGTAGTTACCTATCCCCATCCCGCTTCCAGGCTAGTCCACTGGTTTTCAGCTTTAATGTCCAGTGTCCATCAGAATCTGATGTCTATATTATAATCAATTGGACTGCTACTATCTACTGTTTACTGTGGTACCAAGGATTGAACTGAGGGTATTTGCACTGAGCTATATCCCTAGCTCTTATTTTATTTTTTATTTTGACAGTTCTTGTTCAGTCACTAAGTTGCCCATACTGCACTTGAACTTATGATCTTCCTACCTCAGTTTCCCAGAATGCTGGGATTACAGGCATTTACCACCTTTTTCTGTTTTGTTTTTGTTTTTGGTACTGGGGATCAAACTTGGGTTCTTGCACTTGTGCAGCAGGTGGTGAAACCACTGAGCTAAATCCCCAGCCCCTCACCACCTTTTTCTATTACATAACATTGTTTATATGGTTCCAGTATATTTTTCTTAGTTGCAAGTAGTCCTATTGATAGTAGAAATTAAAATGAGAATAAACTTTGATGGTATAGTAAGTAATATTTCACATTTCACTACCTGGTACTTTGTTCTTGCTAGACTTTAAATACACGTTCTTAAAGGAATATAATTATGTGCTAGCCTTAATACTGTATCTCTTTCATTCTTCCATTTTCTATACCTCTAGCTTGCCTGCTTTTGATCCTGAAGTATTATTTATAACTTCTTAAATTCTGGGAGGCCCTTTAAAAATTACAGCTAAGAACCAACAGTAACACTGATTTGGTGCTGTTGCTTAGAAATGTAACCAACATATTCCTGGAACCCACCCTGACTCAAAGAGAAAATTCTAGCAAGTTGGAGTGGGACTAGGGCATATCTATCCAAAAGCTCAGTTTAAAAAAATTGACATTAATTAAGTGAAAAAAATTTAAACAAAATATTTCAGTGATTCAGTTTTCTGTGGAAGCATCTCAAATAAAAATCATCTCATGATTTTACAATTCTGTATTACTAGATGGGAAAACACAGATCTGCCTTAATGCTATGAAATGGAAATATGGAACTGATTCACTCAGTATCTACCAGTTTCTAATTCTAACATATTTGAATGTTATAAAATTAATAAGTATATATTTAGATATGATAGCTTAGTTAATTAAGCATAATAGAAAAAATTGACTCAAGATGCAGTTGCAGCTTTAAAGGGCTTTCATTTCTTCCTTTCCTTTATTCCTTTTCTTTCTTTTCCCTTCCCTTCATTTATTATTCCAGCACCAACAAATGTGAGATGTTTGATTTGAATATATGTAGGTAATAAATTTGAGAATCCTTATTTAAACATGCTTAGTGGCCTCCTGACTTGATATTATTATTATTGATCTTCTGCTTAATATATTTCTGTAGCATAAATGTAAAATAAAAATAATTGCATTAAATCATGGCCTTTTGGGGATGCTTTAGAAGAAGGTACTTTAAATATGAATCATACACTTCTTCTCAGTGTGGGCTTTAAAGTTCGGCTTCAACCGCAGTTGTGATTGTTTTGAGTTTGTTAGTTGCCTGGAGTGTTATTTTAAGAAAGCAGAAGCACCATCATTTGCACACTTCTTAGCGATTGCACACCTTAACCCTGACTCTGTGGCTGCAGTTTTCAAAAGAAGTGAAGTCAAGATGAAGAACCATGTGCTTTTCTGGGGAGTCCTGGCCATTTTTGTTAAGGCTACTCTTGTGACAGGTATGTGGTATTTATTTTTTAAAAAGCCCAGGTAAAAGGAAAAATATAGCATAGACCTATTTTTCAGATGTAAAGATTTATGTTTAGGCTTTGGCTGGCCAGCTAGCCAGCTACTTCTAACATGCTTTAATTTATATATTGGCAGTGATATTATTCAGACAAGACTCAATGTTCTTCTTCTTCTTTCTTATCTCATAGCTGTTTGCTTATTGCAAACCTACAGATTAAGAAAATAGATATTTTTGGCTAATTTATAGCCATACTTATATATGAAAGTCCATACTACATCTTAAAATTTGGTAATCTGTCCTTGTGTCTTAATATTTGAGAGAAATGAAGTAATAATTACTGTAAGTAGAATATAGAAAGCATTGTGATTTTATTTCCTCAGAAAGACTGGTAGTATTTGTAACAACTTTTCTGGATCAGAGCCCACAGATATATTTAATGATCCTTTCATAATATTTAATCAGGTTGTCTATAATTTAATGGCTGTATATCTAATATTTTGTTTATGATCTTTCAAACATCTGTTTGAAAATGGATACATTCTGAATATAGAAATACAGTGTTAAATAATTTTCATCTAGAAGACATATGAATTAGAAGTGATATAATTTGCCGAAGATTTAGCTCAGTGGTTTCGCTGCCTGCTGCACAAGCGCAAGGACCCGAGTTCGATCCCCGGTACCAAAAAAAAAAGAAGTGATATAATTTGACTGAACTGTTTCTAACAATTAATAAACCTGTTCTTATTTTTAGATAGGCAGAAATGTGATTAATAGTCATTATATATATTTTTACTAATAGCATCAAGACTGTTCTAATAATATTTAAAAGATAAACATGTTAGTAATAAACCATTTATATTTATATATACCTAAATATGTAAATATGTACATATATAAGCATGTTTACATACTTATAGGCATTGAAGTATAAAATGTACACAGCTTTATATAAAATAGCTGTCACTTATTGAATACTGTTTTGACATGCTAATAGATTTACATAAATTAATTCTCACAATAACCATATGAATATAGGTTCTATTATTATTTCCAATATATAGTTGAAGCAATTAAGAGTTAGGTGAAATAATTTACTCAAGGTCACACAGCAGCGATAGGTAGAATTCAGGCAATATGACCATATAGTCCATACTCCTAACTACTGTCTTATTGTGCCTGCATAAAGTAACCACCTTTTTTTCTGGGCATGGTGGCACATGCTTATAATCCTAGCATTGGGGAAGCTGAGGCAAGAGGATTGCCGAGAGTTTGAGGGTAGCCTGGGCTGCACAGTGAGTTTAAGACCAGCTTAGAATACGTAGCAAGACCTTGTCTCAGAAAACAAACAAACAAACAAACCAAAAAACACTAAAAAAAGGAATCATGTTTTAATAAACTCATTATGGTCATATCTACCATGCATTGTTATGTAGTTCTCTTTCTTTTTGTCTGGGGATTGAATCTAGGCCCTTCACACTGAGCTGCATCCCCCTCCCCTTTTTAAGACAAGATCCTGCTAAGTTGCTAAATTTGAGACAAGGCCTTGCTAAATTTTCCAGACTGGGCTTGAATTTGTAATCCTCCCACCTCACCTCCCAGAGCACTTGGATTACAGGTGTGTGCCAACATGCTTTGCTTCTATTTTTTTATTTGACTGAATTAAATTTAACAAATATTTACTGAGTACCTACTATGTCTTAGATGCTCTTGGAATAAAGTAATGCAAATCCCTAATAACAGGCTGATTAGGAAAAATTCAGCTTTTAGGTAAGAGAATGTTAAAATCTAAGTCCTCATGAATAGAAAGTATTTGTACATTTTCCAGTGGATGTATTAGTCTGTTTAATATTTTTATATACCAACAGTAATGACACGTTCTTCCTAGATTTCTGTTAAGGTAATACATTGCATCTCATCATAGAATATGGATATTTTTTCATTTCATGGTCAATAATCAAGTCATTTACTTGACTCTCAGTCTGTATTTTTTGGTCAGGCATTATATACTCATTTATATTTCCTTGGGAAAAACATTTAAGAGTTATGAATATAGAAGTAGAGAAGATGACCCCATTTGAGTCATTTTACTCTTTTCAGAACACTTTAAGAATTATCTTGAATTACCTTCTCCAGTACCATACAGAGTTGTGTCAGATTTATCGAGAACTTTGAATAATGACTTAATTATTACAAAGTGCTTCAGTTGCAGTGATCTTAAAGTATGTTTGTAATGGCTGAAATATTGCAATTAGGTTCTCTGTGCTCTGGGAATCATCTCTGGAATAATTAGATTTCCAGTTGCAATTATCTATCTTTTCTTTTTATGTTTGTTTTTTGAGACAGAGTCTTCCTATGAATCTCATGTTGGCCTCAAACTTAGAATGATATCCATCTTGGCCATATAACCTTTATAACTTGATTTCATGTACTAAATCTTTTTTTTTTAAATTTGAAGCTTAATGGGAAGAATTTTTAAATGCCATATAGCTAAAATTATATAAATAAAAATATCTTTAACATCATGGTTAGCATTATTGAATAATACTATTATTAACTCAAGTATCTGTTAATTGCTCCAAGCCTAGTAAGAAATTTTTTTGTTTATTCCTTAAAATACTAACCTGACCCGGCCAGGGATTTAGCTGAGTGGTTTCGCCACCTGCTGCGCAAGCTCAAGACCTGAGTTTGATCCCCGGTACAAAAAAAAAAACCAAAAAAAATACTAACCAGACCCTTTTGTGTAATATTTAGATTAGACAATAAATGTTGACATTCAACGTTAAGGTTTCAATGATTACCTGTGTATTAATTCATTTATTCATTATTTCTGTGTGCTGGCTTATTAAATTAAATTGAACTTGTACTTCACAATATTTTCTAAATTGTTTTTGCAAATTCATATCTTTTTATAACTATATATCTCCATCCTTTAAAATGATTCTTATAAGAAATATTAATACAACTCTTATTTTATTTACTAGAACAATTGTCCTATGATCTGATTATTATTATAAAAATAACTAGGAAAATTGTAGAGAATATTTAAATATCTTACAAAAACAGTTTCTCTTTGGGGGAAAGGTGCCTGTTTTTGCTCTAATGTAATCTAAGCAAGATTTTTTTTTTTTTAGTTACAAATGAGATTTGAAGAAGGATGTGACATTTCGAATGGAGTTTATAAAGGAATATGTTATTTTTTGGTTCACTTTTGAATTACTCTACAGAGTTTTGTTTTCTCTCTTACTTTGGCATTTGGCATTGATTTTTACAAAGCTACATCATTCAAAGAATTGTGCCTTTGTTATAACCATTAGAGGAAAATCAGAATGCTTTCAGCCCAGGTTTTCATGGACTAATCCAAGAAGAAAAGAGAAAACTCTTTTTTGAGTACATTTGGATTTCCTTTACTGTGATGTGAGAGTTCACTTAGCTATTTTAGATTAGAAAGAAAACAAATGGAAAAAGCTGAAACTGATCAATAATAAAACATTTTTCTTCACACAAGAAACATAAGTGAACTAGTTACAAAATATATAAAGTGACTTTGGTTTCCTTTTTTCATAACATGTTTTATCTTCAAAGCTCAAGATGAAGAGGAATGGACCGTCCTTGCTGACAATAAATGTCAGTGTGCTCGAGTTACTTCCAGGGTCATCCGTTCCTCTGAAAACCCTAATGAGTACACTGTGGAGAGAAATATCCGAATTATGTAGGTGACATTCCATAGTTCCTTTTCCATTCGTAGTTCCTTTTCCCCTCATTGTAAGCAGAGATACTTTGTTATTAAATGTTGTTTAAATGCAATACCTGTATCTTTATTCTCCTTCTTGATGTGTAGCACCCTATATGAGGCTGAATCTTGTTAGTGACCTTAAGGCAATTTTGGAGAAGTTGAGGGCAGGAATAAAGTGTTCCGGACAACCTAAAAATGGACAGCTAGATCAAATTACAGCTAAAGGTTGTGATGCACTTATCACTATACCCTGTTTATGTGGAGTAATTTCAGTTGAATTAAAACTTTCAGTTGTCCTTGATCAGTTCAAACTGAAACTTCAGATAACACTAGGAGCCTTATTTTGTACCATGTATGGTCTATTAAGTATTTTACACTATATTCAGATGTCTGCATAAAGATGAGACTCACTGATCAACTTGACTAATTCGATTCGGTCTTCACCTGTAGCTTGGACTTGAGCTAGTCATTTCATTTCTCACATAGTCCAAGTTATATCCTATGTAGCTCTTATTCAACAGCAAAAATACTGATAACAATTGAGAAATAAGATTTGTATTAGACTCAATCGGTAATAAATTTCCCTTGTTAGACACTCCTACCCTAATAGTTTTCCTCCAATCAAATATCTTTTATAGAAAGAGAACACAGACAATCTCATTAAATTAATAGGATAGGAATAATATGTTTAAGAGTATTGTTTCGATTTCTGTTTGGTTCACTTAACAGCTATGTGCTTTTATTTTTTTAAATTTAAATTTTTATTAATACATGTTTGTTGTACATAATGATAACATGGGGAGTGGGTACATGTACATAACACATCTTAATTCTGTTTATATTCCTCACCATGGCCCTCTTCCTATTTGCAAAAGATAAACAGGTTAATTATCCACTCTAAGCTTCATCTTCAAATGGGGCAAATAGTGGCTACTTCATAGGATTATTGTAAGAATATTGATTTCATTTAGAGCTTGTGTAGTTCCTGGCACATATTAAAATATTTACTTTTATTTATTTATTTTTAATATTTGATTTTATTTATTCTAACCTATGTGCCACTTATCAGTATACCACTGTACTGCTTGAAACTCTTTTGGTGGTTTCTTATTCTTAGAATATGTTACAAATGCCCAGCTTAACTTACAAAGCTTACCATAAATTCTCAAGATTATCCATTGCCACTTTTATGTTTAAAAATCCAGCAATCTTGTAATGTCTTTGTTTCCTACATTTGCAGTGCTTTCTTTCTCTTCTGTATGCCTCCTGGTTCCTCTGTTTGAAGGAGTTTTTCTCCCACCTCTTTCAACCTCATTAATATTTCCTCTTCTTTAGCTTTATTACTTAATTCTTGTATGAACTTGGGTAGGTCAGTAATCTCTCTCATTTATATTTTGCACATCTTTAAAATGTGGTTAATCATATCTGACTGCCTGCTTATTCTATTAGTATTGAACATATTCCACACATCACATTTCTATCTAGGTACTAGGAATACATAGCCATTTTTTTTCCCCGGTACCAGAGATTGAACTCAGGACCTTGCGCTTGCGAGGCAGGTGTGGTGCTACTGAGCTAAATCCCTGGCCCTGCATAGGCATTTTTGCCTCAAAGAAATTACATAGCCTAGACAAACAACTGTTCTGTAGACAAACAACTATAATCAGGCATTTACTATAATAAGTACAGATGAGCTTTAATGAGACTACATGGGGAAATGTTTATCTGGGAAGGGGATAGGATCAAGGTAATCATAAAAATAAGACAAGTTGACAGGGTTTGGCAAGGTTTTGCAAGCTTATCAACAGAGTAGTTACTTTGAGCTTTATGTTGAATGGGAAATAATTAAAGTACAGAAAAATGACTGTAAAAACTGAGTAATAGTACCCTGGTACCTCGGTTCGTGAATTTGGTTCTTTCCATGATTCTGGTCACAAACTGAGTTGGATGAGAACCAAATCAAATTGAGTGGTTAGGTTCAATATTGACCTTATGAGGAAGTTTGACTGGGTTCCCATTCAGTTCTTCTTGCAACCAGAATTGTGGAGCGAATTGAGTTCATGAACCAAGATACCACTGTATTACCTACAGTGCTTAAATGTAAAGATAAGTACCATCCAATTAAATAGTACTGTTCTATCAGTGTACCGATATCAGAAATAACAATATCTGTATTCTGTTATTTTTATTGTTTCTTTTTTTAGTGTTCCTGTGAACAACAGGGAGAATATCTCTGATCCCACCTCACCACGGAGAACCAATTTTGTGTACCATTTGTCTGACCTGTAAGATATTTTCTTTCATACTCATAGATATGTGGAAGTTAATACCTTTTAACTAACCTTGTTAGAATGTTTCTGAAAATATGTTGGAGTATAAAGATTTATAAGTATCTGAACTTTTGAATGCATTCCCATGTTATTAGGTATCACACATTCACGGGACCATGACAGATAAAAAGTAGCTATACATCTATTCTAAAGAAGAAACTAATGTCATTCATACAGGAAGGGTCATTTTATATTAATAGCTCAATAAATAGATTTCAGCTTATAAACATGAAAATGTTTCTTTGGAAATGATAGAATCAAATAGTTTCTAAAAATATTATTTTCTCATTTAAACAAACTAAATGATTGGGAATAAACCTAACACAAGAGAAGTTTCTGTAGGTAAGACAATCACATTATCATATTATTAATTATATAGCTTACTTTCAAGTAATTTTTGTGTATTAAAAGTTGAAAAAGCTCACAAACTGTTCTGTAGTATACAATTAATTAGGTCCAAAAGGAATCATCTTTTATTATAGGTCAGGGCTATAAGAGCTCATTGATTTTAGATAGAAATGTATGGTCACTCATATTTTGATACAGCATTTAATGTGAATTACTAATATGTGTCATTTGTTTTTCAGCTGTAAAAAATGTGATCCTGTAGAAGTGGAGCTGGATAATCAGGTAGTTACTGCCACACAGAGCAACCTCTGTGAGGAAGACAGAGTGCCAGAGACGTGCTACACTTACGACAGGAACAAGTGCTATACAACTGTGGTCCCGCTCACATACAGGGGGGAGACCAAGATGGTGAAGGCAGCCCTGACCCCCGACTCCTGCTACCCCGACTAGCATAAGTCACTGCTAAATGTGCAGCTCTGTCCTGAGAAGCTCTCTATTTAGTCCAGAAAGTTAGTGTATTTACAACCAGTGAATTTTAAGCCAAATTTTAAAATTAATGCAAGACTAACTTTCCCCTTAAAAATTGAAGTAATGGTTTTATTTATTAGGCAATTACTTCTCAAATCTAAATATTAAATATCAATTATAATGCTTGTCTGAGGGGTATGCTTCCTTAAGATCATAGTTTTTAGCATTTAAAAAAATAGACAAGGAAAGAAAGTAAAACTCAAAGAGTAAAAATCTGGAGGCATAATTAACTGTCCTTTTCTCTTTGCTTGGTTTTGTTTTGGAGAGCCAGAGCATTTGCACATTCTATGCCATTTTCCTTTTAAAAAGTTTCACTGTGGGCCAGGGATTTAGCTCAGTGGCACCACTCCTGCCTAGTAGGCATAAGGTCCTAAGTTCGATCCCAGGTACCCCCCCAAAAAAGTTTCGCTGTGTAGAGAAAACATATGTGTAAACATAGGTCAATTATATGTCTTCCTTAGAAAAATGATAATTGGAGAACATGTTCTGGAACTGTGTATAAAATTATTAAAAATGTAATCTAATATTTATGAAACCAATTTGCAGAAAATGATATAATTTAAAACATAATTAAAAGTACATTTTGACATAATATACAGATGTGGCAGCAGAACTTCCTGTTTTTGATAAAGAATTTTTTTCAACAATCAGGTTAGTGTAAGATATTCCCATTGGAAATCATCTTTGTTGCAACTGAATCTAATGTTTTGTTTTCTAAAATATGTGTTCTCTAACACAGTTTGAACAATTAAATAGAATCATAAGCATATACCTGTGTGAAATAATTTATTAGAAAAAAGCTTGTGTTAACTTTCTTTTTTTTCTTTTTGTGTTGTTATATGTGAATTAAATATAATTTGTTATTGATGAAGTTTGTAACTACGATAAAATGATGAATTAATCACTGAATTCATACATTTATATATTTGACCATTTTACATCCAAAATTAAATAAAAAGGCAAGGTCTTCATGACCCATAAATCTTTATGGCAGAAAGGCAAAGCTAACTGACATATACCTAAGGGCACTATGGAAGGTAAATGGTGACTCTTGATTTAAATCAGTTGGAGAACGATGAGTAAAAATCAGTTTCTGTGAGTCATTCTTCTGTTTCCTTTTTAAAAATAGTGGTAGCCATTTTTAGTAATGTCTGTGTTTATGATGATTATTCAGCTTTTCTTCACAGATAAGGTTTGGACACTCTTTGTACATCAGTAGGGATAATAGTTTTGATATATGAGGTGTGGTTGAAAATTTTGATGAATGTTTGCATTTTAAAAAACTATTTCAGGAAAAGATACATTGTCATTAATCCCCCTCTATTTTGAACACACTCATCCCATCATTCTTGGTACTCTCTAAAGCAGTTCTGGAAGTCTATTTCCATGAGTGTCTAGTTGTGCCTAACTGGACTTTAGTTGTGGTGTCGTGGCTGCCTCAATGTCTTAAAGGGATTTAAAACATTTACCTTTCATGATCCTTTTGACTTTGGGGAAGAGCCAGAGGTCATACAGTGCCAGATCTAGTGAATAAGGAGGAGGACAGGACACACCACAATGGTCTTAGGATTTGCCTTTCTGTTGGATGCTACTCAACAGCAACATTCACCATATTTTCATCACATGTCATAAAGACTCAAAAGGGGACTTCCAGAACCATTTCAGAAAGTGGCAAGAATGGTGAGATAAGTGTGTTTGAAGTGAGGGGATCTTTGGGGGGTGGGTAATGGCAATGTGTCTTTTATTACAGTAGTTTCTTTTTTAATTTAAACATTCACCATATACAGTACTTGCACTAAAAATATACCCATTCTTGATTGACCTTTGATCCAGCATGTGGTTTTTGCAGTCTTTGAATTTCAGTTAATCAGTAAGTATTGGCTGTTAATCTCTTGCACAAAGCCAATCTGTGGTAATTAAGCTTCGGAAAGCCTCCATCCTTCTCATCTTTCAAAACACTGTGTAGCTGTATTGTCTCTGTGAGACCCATCCCGATTACTTTAAAATTTCTTTAATTTAAAATTTACATTAAAAATTCTCTTTATTCCTTTATCTCAATTTATTCTTTCTCTGTCCTTGCCAACCTCAGGGAAACTTTATCTTTGTTTATCATGTTACCATTTGTCTCCCCATTAGAGTATAATGTCTGGTGTTATATCCCTAGCACCTAGAACAATATCTGCCACACAGAGGTGCTCAGTATATATTTATTGAATGAATGACATTAATAAAGCTTAGTTAAACAATACACATGTGCATAAAGAATTATAATTACTTGGCAGAATCTGATAAAAGAAAAAAATAGGCTCCAATGGTTAATGAAACTGCTTCTGAAGAAGTCCCTCTACTCCAGTTCTATCTTTGCCTGAGTTTTTGTGTAACCAGTAGGAAAATTTTTTGGGTACCATGTTGCAGTTTTATGTATGAAAGACCCTTATTCCAGTATTATTTTTTTAAATGCCAGCTGTAACTCCTGTAGGTCTTCCTTTTTTCAAAGTTCAGTTAAATTCTAAGAGTACTATACTGTATTAACAATTTATCACTAGATGCTAGGCACCAGTCTAAGTGCTTTGTTTATATAATTCATTCAGTGTGAAACTAGAGTAGCTGATGACTCATACATGAGAGTTAGTGAAGAAGGATTAAAGCCTTCCTGCTAGCTGCATTCATGTGTTTGCTTGTTTTAGCGGGACATTTAGCAGGGGTACACTAAGACATTCATGTGAAAGGTGCCTCCTTGTTCTTAGCAAGGAGCATGATTGGCCTATGGCTGTAATACTCAGCACTATGTTTGTGTGAGGCCAGATGCCAATGGGCTGCATCAACCAGTGATGATTCAGTGTGTTAGGAATACCAAGACCAGTTTCTGGGAGACACAACACCTTCTGATTGGTCACTGACTTTGGACTCCCCTCTGACTTCCCTGAAAATTCTTAGCACTGCATCACTGTCAGACATTACCTTTCTAACCTTCCTCCCTCTTTCCTCCATGGGGTCAAACCTTCATGAGGATCTCATAGTTTCTGCAGCCTTCCTTGATCCCTTCCCAGTTTCCTCACAGCTATTTCTTAATCTATTTAGACCTCTACTCTCATCTTGGAGTCTGTTTCCAGAGAGCCTGGGTTACTGTTATGGCCAATTGTGATCTATCTGATTTAATGATGATGATGATACTGAGCATTCTTCACAGGCCAAGTAATTTACCGCTGCCATCTCATTTAGTCTTCACAATGAGGTTTTGCTTATTCTTTCACATTATAAATGTGCAAACCAATCCAGTGGATACATAGCAATTGGGTTCACAACCTTGTCCAGTAACTGGCAACGAAGACTCTAAGTCACTCTGCTATACATTGGCAAATACCAGTTGAGGCTCTTAATCATGCCCACTGTAACATTTTCTTATAGTTTATTATGAGGTTAATGCCCAATTCATTGACCTGTCATTAAATCTGCTACAAGTTTTTTACTTTATGTATATCTTTTAAATTTTTCTTTTTTTAGACAAGGACTCACTATGCAGCTCAGGCTGGCCTTGAACTCATGGTGATCCTCCTGTCTCAGCCTCCTAAGTGCTGAGATCACCAGTGTATGCCGCTGCGTCTGGCTTGCTTTTTTTCTTTTTTTGGGGGGTGGGTACCGGGGATCGAGCTCTGGACCTTGCACTTGCGAGGTAGGCAGGTGGCACTACTGAGCTAAATCCTGGCCCATGGCTTGCTCTTTTTAATTTAAATTAAATGGATGACATATTTAAAAGGCATAAATAGGTACTGTTGGCAAGAAATGTTTTTTTTCTACATAATTCTCGACAAATTAGCCATTTGCCCGAGGGAACACATTCAGAACTAGCTAGATTAAAAAATATAATTTAGCAATTAAAGTAATGCTTCTTTGTGCCAGGCTCTTAGGTCTAAGCTAAGTTTAAGACTATTGTTACTCTAATGGTTTTATGGGACTTGAACATAGTTACATTTCTACAATCACAAGTACACAGATGTATGCACACTCGTAAACAGACATGACACACTTCTATCCTGGAGGTAGAGGATAGGATATTAGCCTTCATGACTCCTGACCAGGTCTTGGCTGTGAGGTAGCAGTGTATATAATGACTAACCAGTAAGTTCATGGTCTAGATTGGGATACAGGCCCTAAGTGACTGACGTTGGGCAGATTAATTAAATCTAAGATTGGTTCCTTATTTAAAAAATCGTAAAAATCATCTCAAAAATTTTCGTAAAGATAAGGATCCATCTTGTATAGATGTAGATATTTTTGTATGTCTTTAGTACAGCTATTACAGTAGTCAGCAGTACTCTGTTGTCTTTTGGCACTTCTCCGTATCAAGGCAACATAACAATGAGAAACGTAGCTGTACATTGGATTAAAATAATTCTTGAATTTCAGAGTGCATGAGAGTAATCTGGAGGATTTGTTAAAGCTGATTACTGAGCCCCACCCCTAGAGATGCTGGACTAAGTAGTACTGGGGTACAGGTGGAGAAATTGCAGTTCTTCCCAATTTCCAAGTTCTGCAGCTGCTGGAGTTGAGAACCAGGGCTTTAGAATGACAAACCTCTACTTCCATCTAGTGGTTAAATTATGAGGTACAGAGAATACATTTTTTTTCTTTTTTCTTTTTTTTTTTTTGTAAGGAGACGAACTCAGGATCTTGCGCTTTCGAGGCACATGCTGGAACCACTGAGCTAAATCCCAGGAGCAAATACATTTTTAGCATACATGTTTTCATTTAATCCTTTCTAATGCCCTACAGAAAAAAGTACTATCTTCATTTTACAGATAATGAAACTGAGATGTGAAGAGAGCTAACCCGCTTAAAGTTTTTTTTATTTACTTGTTTTATTTTATGAAAAAATAAAACAAGGGGCCAGGGATTTAGCTCAGTGGTTCTGCCACTTGCCTTGAAAGCACAAGGGCCCAAGTTCGATCCCCAGTACCAAAAAAAAACAACAACAAAATTTTATAAAAAATAAAAAGAGAATACAATAGTTGATACATGTTGTATTATTATCTTCAAAGTAATTATTCAGAATAGAAGACATAAACCAAAATGATTCTTGCAAACAAGAAACTAATGGATAATAACACAAAACTTGAAACAGCAGAATATGTAATTTGGGGAGGTGTTTAAACTTCTCCCTACCTCCTATTTATTTCTCTTATATTTCTCTCTCTCTCTCTCCACACACACATATACATATGTTTGAAAATCTATATATATCATATAAGAGAAGGTATGATATATTTGAGGCTGTGTGTCTGATTTCACTTAACATTATGCTATCAAGTTGCATCCATTTACCTATGAATACATCAAGTTTATCTTTCTTTATGGACACATGGTACTCCATTGTGTACAAATATCACAAGTAGTGTATGAAGAACTTAATAATTGGACCCAAACTGTAAAAGCCGATGCTCTCATGTTATCATGTCCTGTCTGAACATGTTTCCATACCATCTTCCCCAGTAATTCCACTTCTGAGGGAATAACCAGAAATACTGACAAAGAAGAATGCAGGCCTGTATTTAACACAACATTATTTATGATACTGAAAGTCCATAAGGAGCTATGAGTCCATCATAAATGGAATGTTACTATTGATCTATTCAGACTATTCTACAGAGAAGAAAAATGAAATTTTAAAATATTTTTAATTTTATAGAAGTTCTTTATACAATGTGAAGAGAAAATGAAAGATATTACATAAAGAATGACTTTAAAAACACCTCCCCCCACCATGCATTCGTGGAAATAGGCCAAAATGTTTTCATTTGTTTCCCTTTACTTTTCAGTATTTTCCAAATATTCCACAGTATATGTTACATAATTTAAAAATGTTAGTTATTATTAAAATTTTAATCAACTATGTTAATTTTTAAGAAATTCTAAAATTTTACCTATTTACATATATATTTAAGGAGAAAGTAATATTTTCTTAGCCTCTATTCTGTGTCTAGCACAGTGCTAATTGCCATGAGTGTTATGTATGAAGGGTGATTTTACTTCTAAGGAATTTTCCTAGGCTGTAGGCAAAACTCACACAGAGAAAAGTTAGTACTTGATGTAGGACAAATGGATGATTAAATATAAAAGATGTGCTGTGAGCTTTCAGGGAAGCTGGGGACATCAGGAGTGGGATTATCTTCAAGAAGATGTTAACTGAATAGGGTTCTCAAAGATGAAAGTAGAACATTTGAGAACTACATGAACCAGGCAGACAGGAAGAAGCATAGCATAAATGTAGGACTAGAGGCAATATCAGCCTGGTCCCCTCTTCTTTTGAGTGCTCTATCAAGTCCTTTGCTTACGTGCTTTACCCTCTCAAATTGGTGATATTCAGTTTTTTTTAGTGGTCAAGACCTTTTTGTCTCTTCCTTAGTGAGTAGAAAGTAGTCTAGCACTTTGCCACCCCAAGCTTGATCCACCAATTGGTTAAATCATCATCATTTAAATGGTACAGAATAGTGGGCCCTGATCCAGGTCCACTGAATTAAAATCTGCATTTTAACAGGATTCATATGCACATTGAGAAATGTGGTGTGATGAGCAACAAAGTCAGAAAACAGCCTGGACCCTAGTAAAAGGAGGCAGTTGCCAATTTGGTTTAATAGCTAAGGGACTGACGAGGTCTTCCACGAACAAAATTTTACTTTCCTAACTACATCATGATTAGGCTCATGCATGATGGGTTATCTAGGAGCACTACATATTAGTCAACACTTGAGAGGAAAATCTGCTTACCGTACTTACCCATATAGCACACACCTTCATTTTAAAGTGCAGAAAGGAGTGAGATACAGTTATTTGAGTAAACTTGGAGGCAGTTACTATAAGGCTCTGATGAAGTGCAGAAACAGGAGGTGTGGGACACTCAGCAGATGCAGTGGGGTGCTAAGAGCAGCTAAGAGGCGTGCAGCACTGCAAGTAGCTTCAAGTATCTTACAATTTTGTCTGTCAAATTACGGCTCAGCTTCCTCCTTGCTTCTTAGGGAGGTTTGTCTTCTACTGCTAGGGAATTTTGTTTGTTACTAGCAGAATTGTGTTTCTAAATCAAACTGACCATAGATTGAAAGTGAGAGAAAATGGTCCCGTGGCTGTGACTGGAATTGGGTGAGGTGGAGAGGGAAGGAAGAGCAGGAGGACAAAAGCAAATGCTATGTAGATACTGTTTTGTGAAACAGTGGTAATCTGTTTTCCATCAAGTGCAGTTTTCTTCTGAGCTTAGGTAGCATGTGGCTTGAGTCACAGTGAGACGGTTAAGATTTTGTGAAGGAGGAATAGATCAGTTGATTTTTAAGTCCAACATTTTTGTTCCCTTTTTGATTCTTAGAAATGAAGTTTGGTTTCCTTAATGTCATGACTGAAGGACACTAGGATCAATGAAGGAAGAGGAAATAAATGGACAGACACATGTCTATATAAGTAATAAAACTAAGGTAGGACTCTGATGTAAGTGAATAAAGTGAAGCATGTGACTATATCTTTAGGTGTTCCAAAGGCAGAAGAAGAATCTCCATGTTACTGGTTGTAGGTTAATTCTCAGAAGTTTGACTGTGTCCTACACCTCTTCCTCCTACTTTGCCTTCCATGTCAGAGAAAGTGCAAGGTCTCCTCAGCAGCTTCTGTGCCTTTAGAGGCGCCGGTTAGAGTCTGATGGGAAAGGTCAGAATGCAGGTGTGGATTAGCCTTGCTGGATTATCTTGTGTGTTGGAATCCTCAGCTATTATACTCTTCTTTATTTCCTTTATCAACTAAAGATTATAACCAGTCATTTTTTAATCTGCCAGATACAGGAATTTGACACAGAAGCGAGGCAGCCATGAGAGAATGGGGATCAGCACCTCCCATTTCTGCTCTGTGTATCTGAACTTCAGGTCAGATTACACAGACTCTGAATTGATAGCCAGGGCACAGAGGAATGGGGCCCTTTAATGGGAGGAGCTCAGATCTCTGTCCAGGATTGCAGGAGACATCTGTGCTTCTGAGATGAAGAGCCATTTTCTGCAGCCCCCCTCCCTTTTCCTCTATGCACTCAAATTCAATAGATTTTTTTTTTTTGTCACACTGTGCTTTTCACATTTTATCTTACAGAGGTCTCAGATGATAATTTAAACAGCAGTACCGCATAGATGCAGATGTGTCAACTACCAAAACAGCTATGTGACTCATGCAGTTTGGTGAAATATAAAGTGAATGTTTTTAATGAAAGTATTCACATTAAAATTTGCAAAAAATTATTTAAAAAAATAATGAAACATAATAGTGTAGTTTTATTTTAAGAGGGTAGTTCTTTTTCTTTTTTATTTTCTTCTTTTTTTTTTTTTGAGACAAGGTCTCACCATATAATTCAGGCTGGCTTTGAACTCACTATGTAGCCCAGGCTGGCCTTGAACCCTTGGTGATCTTCCTGGCTCAGCCTCCCAAGAGCTGGAATTACAGGCCTGCACCACCATACCTAGCCCAAGAGGATAATTCTTGAGAGTTTTATACAAAATAAGTTAATCATTTTTCAATGGGTGAGTAAAGTAAAAAACGGGTGGGGTGGGTGGGGAGGAATTCTGCAACCAATGCATAGATAATCTACAGTTTGGTGATTCAGATGTCGCTGAACAATCCAGCTACAAATGGTGGTACCTTATTCTGCATCCCACACATTTCCCCTGTGGAAGAGCAGACTGCAGTGTACTGTTTTCATGTGAATGTTGAAAGCCATCCAAAAATCAGTCAGTCAATAAATATTTATTGAGTACCTTCTATGGTCAAGACACTATGCTAGACACTTTAGACGATTCAAGGGCAAAGTTTTTTTTCTAAGGGAGTTTTCAACATTGTATTTTCCTCAAATTTCTGAAATCTTCTGTTATGAAATCTGTCCAATGAAATTTTCTCCTAAGAAAATCCTTAGTTAGAAGGTAACTTTCTAGGTAATTCTGAGAAATTTACCCTTCTAGGCAAGCAATATCCAGATAATAGGCCAAAATCCCCTTAATAATAGCAAAAATAATAACACAACTCAGATGCATTCTAAGCAAGGCAATATAGAAATATCTACTTTACAAAATATTTTACACTATTTAATCAAGATACCAAGGAACTTTGTCTGTGAATAATTCTACAAGGACATGAAGAATAATAAGCATATTAGTAGTGGTATATATCAGTAGAATCACTAATACTGAACTAGAAAAGAAAATTAAACATTGAGTGTTTTATCTGCATAAAATGGTGTTTCCCAAAATGTCCTCATATAAATCCTGCAGATCAAGAATAGGTGATGGGGTGTGGCGAGTCCTAGTCTTTTGTTCTGATGGTCAGCCCCAGAGTGATAGTTTCTTCAGTTCTTTATTCCTTACTTCTTAAGCCATTTTCCTTGGGCTGTTACTTCTAGAAACTAGTTTGCCTTCCCTTCTCCCAGAGTATGTTCCTCTAACTGAGCTATCTACCTGGTAGAGACCATGAGGAAATTAAGAATAAAAGTAGGCCTCATTCTCTACTTGTTAGTAAATTTATTCTACAGTGGTAGTTTGGCTGGGCCAAGAGAAAAATGCAGGTAGAATTTAGAGTACATACAAAAAGGGGGGAAACGACATGTTATTTTAAGATACGAAAGTAGTGTAGCAGAAAAAAGAAATTGAAGATATGATAGGAGTCTGAAAAAGGATTATTTGGCAAATGATACATTAAGAGACAACAGAAGCTGGGTATGGTCGTGCACACCTATGATTCCAGCACTCTGGAGGCTGAAGCAGAAGGATCATCACATTTTCAAGGCCAGCCTGGGCCATATAATGAGTTCAAGGCCAGCCTGAACTACATAGTGAGACCTTGTATCAAAAAGCAAAACAGAACAAAATAAAAAAGATAACAGAAAATTAAGAAGAAAGGAAGACATAGTGGAGGAGGTAAGCATAAAGACTAATTGTAGTTAGAGATAGCTAGCTTAGTATGTGGGAAATGATAATGAGAAAGGTGAAAAATAGAAAACTAAATATAGAATGGTTGAGGGAGAAAAAAAGGGAAGAAAAAAGAAAGGAAATGATAAAGGTAAAGATAGACAATGAAATAAAAAAATTCTGAGAGACTATCAACTATGAAAAAAATTCAGAAAAACCAACAACAAGGAAAAAAATGTACAGTGCATCAGGACTATTCTGATGGGTAGATCTCCATACATAAAATGGAAAGTTCATCTGCCTTTCAGATGTGCAAAATCAGACGGTTTTGCAAGTAGGAAACCTTGAGGGAAAAGGAGGAATCAGCAAGCAAAAGGAAACTAGCCCAGACAAGTGACTTCCAAGTTTCAAAACAGGGTGGTCATGTCCTTCATGCATTTTCCTATGTCTGCACTAATTTGTGACAACACTGGATCCAGCCATCCCCATAGGCCCAATCATATTAACTCTACCTGGGCCACTATTCCTACTTCTGGGAGGGGAAAACTTAGGATTACCAAGAAGGGTGTACATTAATTAAGTCTTGGAGAAAGAGTTTGGGAACCGTTGGTATAAAATATTAGATATTTTCCCTTCCCGACAATACTTGATTGAAATAATCCCTAGGCCTGAAGTAGTACACAGTCTTGTACTTGGTCCTGAGGATCAGTCCCTTTTTGAAAAGATTCAAATGGAGTATGTCCGTCTACATTAACTTGGTCTATATTTATACTTCTAAAAGGCTCCCCAGTAGCTAGCCCAACAAATGTATTAGGATTTTGAGTAGGCATAGTTAGATCCCTGTCAAATGGGCCTTGTCTTCCACTGATAGATGGAGTTCCAATGCTAGAAGACTGAAGCTTTGTTAATTGGGAGCCAAAACATGGTACCTGCAGGACACTGGGTGGTCTTTGTTGCTGCTGCTCACCCTCCTTTCCTTGGATTTCATTTTGGATGCCTTCTGACTTGGGCCCTTCATCAGCTGTACGAATAACAAGCTGCTCAGGAGTAAGGTCAGCAGTTCTTTCATTGAGATGGTTGCCTTCAAAAATTTGTTCCAGAACATTGTTCCCATCTCCTCCAAGATCATTTTTGAGACAAGGTGTGTTCTTTGATTGAGGAAAGCTGGCTTTGGGAAAGGATCTAATTCCCACTTGACCCTGTTGATTATTCACAGAGCATGGTGTGTTCTTCAGAGTTGGCACATCATCTCTAAAAGTGCTTGGGCTTTGGCTTTCCCCAGGCAGTTTCTTCTCAGAGCTGTTTCTTTGGCCAGGTAGGATGTTTGCTGGGGAGACAATAGGTCTTGCATGTTTGGTATGACTACTTTCTGTATAGGTGGGGTTGATGTTTTGATTCTCTTCTGGTGTATTACCATAGGATGGAGTGTAGACTTGTAGAGCCAGTGGATTCTCATTGGGCCCTGTGGAGCTACCAACACAGCAAGAACTTTGTGGGCTTTGGTGAAATAAATGTGCTTCTGTTTGCTCTGATAGGTAACTTTGAGGAATGAAGTCCAGGAAAGCCAAATGCTGTCTCTCTGGTGAATTTAACCTAGTCATTTGCATATCATAGTTCAATTTCTCACCTTCGTGCCACGTTGGGTTTTTCTGGAGGCCAGCGGGAGGGTTACTGGAATAGGGATAGTTCTCTTTCTGGTTTGGTAGGCTAACTTTTTGTAAATTTGTTGCCTGATCCCAGTAATTTCTGTTAAAATATGGCTCACTTTCTTGCTGCCCCGGTACTTTAATCTTGTGGTCCCAGGAGTTCCACGAAGGAAAGAGAGTGCTTTCTTCTTGTTGGATGGCATTATTAACATAATGTCCCCTGCTGTCCATAGGTGGTGATGTAGTGGGACCTGGTCTGTATAATGGAAAAGTCTCATCCAGGGTCCAGGGATAAAATTCACTGTAAGGAGAATCTTCTCTGGGTTTTGATGGATTATCTAAGGAATAGGGAAGATATTCCTTTGGTTGATTTAAGGCATATTTCCCACCATCATAGTGCCTACTTGTTGGTCTTCCATTAAAACTCAACTCTTCCTCACCCCATCTACTTTGTCCTGGGAAAGGTTCATCTCCAGTTGGATCAGGTGGGTCCTCTTCATTATAATGGACTGTCTCTTTCTGGTCTGCAGTCTTGAGGGGATATTGTGGATGTTTTGGTTGCCCCATAGTATTGGGAGAATCAACTCTCTCATCCCATGTATTACCTCCAATGTATGGTGAGTTTTCTCTGGGATAATAGGAGTTATATTCATGGTAAAAAACATTTCCCCAAGAGCCAGGAGAAAGATGAGGTAAATGTTCTTCCTGCTTGCCAGGATCTTCCTTAAAGGATGGAGGGATTTTTTGGTGACTCCAAGTATTTCTTCCAGCAGGAAAATGTTCACTTTTAGGAGAAGGGATTACCTCAGGATAGATAGGCTGATGTGTACTGTGCTTTAATTCAGGCTGTTTAGTTTGTGTTTCATATGGGATTCTTTTTGTCTCTAAAGCAACCCCTTTGGGAAAGTTCTGGCTTTGGGTTTGTGCATTAGAATTTGGCACTCCTCTGGATCCTCCTCTTGAGTAATAGGAGTTTTCATGTTGATTAGCAGAATTAAAATTAGGGCCTAGCATGTTACCCTCAGGGTGAGGCCATCCAAGATTAGGTTTATTAACTCCATAATGTTGAGAGTTTCTCCAGGAGCCTGATGTATCCTTTGTAGGAGTCACTGTTCTTTCTTTTTGACCCAGAGACTTTCCCTTTGGATTTTGGATTTTTTCATTGTGGCCAACAGTACCTTGTTTGGGACTCAGTGGAGTAACACTGGTTCCCACAAAAGGTTTATTTGGCCCCTGAGGCTTTCTTCTGAAATTTGCTGGATTTCCTGCGTAATTGGGGTAATTGACTCTAGAAGTGGGTGTGTAAGCTTTTCCATAAGTTGGATTTCTGGGACGAGCTGCTTGTTTGCCTTCCCAAGCAAAGGAATTCCCCTGACCTCTTTGACCTGGTTGACTTTGGTAAAAAGACCCAGACTGTCTCTGCCCAGTGGCAGTACCTGTGGGATTTGATTGTCTTCCTGAAGGAGAATTTCTCATGTTAGGATTTGGATAAATTTCATAAATTTTTGGCTGACTTGGTTTCCATGGGATTTGACTTCTGGGTATTACCTGGCCTGAAAAGTTAACTCTAGGGAGTGGGAAGATCCCATTTTGAGCTGTAGGGTTGTTCCCAGTATTCAGCCCAGGAACATTGTTTAGTGTTGGACTGGTGTCATTTTTGCCTTGACCTCCTGGTTGGGTAGAATTAGTCTCAGGTACTGTTGAATTAGCTGAGGGTTCTGATGGTGGATCCTCTGGCTTAGGAGGATCTTCTTCTTTAGGTTTTTCATAATCTTCAATTTCTTCTGAGTAATAAGGACGACCCCCAAAGCCAGGATATCCAAAAAATCCAAAATAAGGATTCTGTAGGAAAGAAGATGGAAATTCATAATTATTCTTTGTTTCCTACCATGGTGTTGCTTGGAATTTTTTTTAATGTAATGGGGAAATCTTAGCCAAATGCTCCTTTTAACACCACTGGCTGTGCTTTCTTGAAATTTGATTCCTCCTTAATTTCCATGTTCCCACACCTTTGGTTTTTCTCTTCTGGTGCTGTTTTTGACCAGTCAGTCTAGATCTTAAATCTGAGGGTTTAATTTTTTTTCTTTTGGTTCCGTCCTCTGGCCTCCTCATTTCTCTGTTCTCACTTTACACACTTGCCTTGAACAACATATGGCATGCCTGTACTTTCTATCCAGATACATGCTAATGACTGAGAGGTGTAACTCTGTTCCACAACACCATCTCCTGAGGATGAGGCACGTCTTCTGTGGGCTTCAATTTATGTGTACAATAAAGGAATTAGATGATTTTTAAAATCCCCCTCTGGGGGTAACATTCTAAGATGCTCTTAACTTGCTTCTCTGCCTATCACTGTTTAAAGTCTTTTTTATTTTTTTGGTACCGGGAATTGAATATAAGACCTTGTACTTGCCAGGCAGGCATGGCACCACTGAGCTACATCCCTGGCCTTGTCTAAAGCTTTTTTTTTTTTCCCTTAAATTCTTTTATTGGTACACTTAGGTAAACAATACATTTACATTTATCACTGGGTGCTTGTACCTGTACATAGTGTATTTTGGTTCTTATTTTTTCCCCATTACCTGTGCGCCCTTCACCCCCTCCACCCTTCCCTATAGACTTTGTTTCCATTTTTTTTCTTTTCTCATGATTTTTTCCTTTCCCTCCTTTCCTTTCCCCTTCCCCTCCCACCACCCCTAAAAATATTATTCTCATTTTCTTCCCACTGTTTTTTTTCTTGGTACCGCGGATTGAACTCGGGACCTTGTGCTTGCGAGGCAGGCGGCAGAACCACTGAGCTAAATTAAATCTGTGGCCCCCTGTCTAAAGTTTTAACAAGTGTTTGAGAGACATCTTTTTTTTTTTTTTTGGTACCAGGGAACGAACTCAGGACCTTGAGCTTTCAAGGCAGGCAGCGGAACTGCTGAGCTAAATCCCTGGCCCCTGAGAGACATCTTTCAATCCATGTGGAGCAGAAATGATGAATCACATTTTATTCAGGTTACTGGCTTGATTTGTTTTACTTTTTTGGTTTATTTTTCCTTTTTTTAAGCCTTAGGAGCCTGAGCTACAGAAGATTCATATGTTGGATTTTAACTTTCTTTTTAGACGTGGATCAAAAAGCAGAGGCTGATAGATTGTAATTCCTTTTGGGGAATGTAGCTTTACTTGTGCTTACCCCTCCTTCTTCATTGCTGAGTGGTGGACGTCCAAAACCGGGGGGTGGCATCCTCTGAAAGGTGAACGACACAGTGAACACAGGAGAAAACCACTCTCTACGCTGCCGTTTGTTTATAAGACTGAGGGTGTGCTAAATTAACTCGTTAGTAATTGGGTGTTTAATACTCTGAGCTTTTAGCTTCGGAGTCTATAGCTGTTGCTATTAAGAGTTGTGATACATTAGTGAATGTTGTAAATCCAATGGATTTAGCTGGATCCTAGATCGTCCTACTCAAAATACCCTGGATGGCTGAATCTCTTATTTGGCCCTCCACTACCTCCAGCATGCTTACCCCCACACCTATCCCCACCACAGAGAGGGAGAGGCAGGGGGAGATTGATTGGAGTAATATTAGATTCCAAACATCTATAATAGAACATCTAATAATAGCGATTAAGTAATGATGTTATTTTTAGAATGCTTGCTTCACATGTGGGACTCAATTTTTCTAATCAAATTTGAAAGGTGAGTTTCTGCTCAGGGACTGTTACAAAATGGGAGGATTTAGAAAATCAGTTTGGTTCCCATAGACTTTCTCTTTAAAAAATCATTAAAAAATTATAGTTAATGCATATTAATTGTACATATTGATGGGTTTCACTGTGACCTTTTCATACATGCATATATTGCTATTGTGCTTTTGTTGTGTCCCTCTTCCAACTACCCTTTCATAACCTCTCCTCACTTCCTCTTTCCTCCAGTCCCCTTACCCTTCTCTTGTTATCTTTTAAATGTTTACCGTATTCTAGCTTCCACGATAAGTGAAAAATACAATATGTGTCTTTCTGGATTTGAATTATTATTATTTTTTTGGTACCAGGGATCGAACTCTGGTCCTTGCCCTTGCAAGGCAGGTGGCAGAACCACTGAGCTAAATCCCCAGCCCCACCCCCATGAATTATTTTACTTAACCTGATGACCTCTAGTTCCATTTGCCTGTGAATGACATGTTTGTTCTTTTTTATGGCTGAATAATACCCCATTATGTTTAGATATCATATTATTTTTACCTGTTCATCTGTGGACAGGCACTAGGCTGATGCTACTGTCTGACAACTGCGAGTGGAGCTGCAATAAACATGGTGTGAAGGTATCTCATGATGCTGACTCCATTCCTTTGTAGTGTATATCCAAGAGTGGTACACTGGATTGTATGGTAGCTGTACTTTTAGTTTTTTGAGGAACTTCTATACTGTTTTCCATAGTACTGTACTATTTACATTCTCATCAACAAGGTATAAAGATTCACTTTTCTCTGTTCTGTCAGCAGGGTTTTTTGTTGTTGTTGTTGTTTTGTTTTGATAATAGCCACTTTGACTGGAGAGAGGATGAAGTCTCATTGTAGTTTTGATTTGCATTTCTCTGATGGCTGAAGATGTGTGGTTTTTTTTCCATATATTTATTGGCCACTTGAACTTCTTTTTTGGAGAAATGTCTGCTCAGATCATTTGCCTCTTTCTGGACTGAGTTTGTTCTTTTGTTGATATATATATATATATGTGTGTGTGTGTGTGTGTGTGTGTGTGTGTGTGTGTGTATTCTTATAAACTTTCAAGAAGTTCTGTGTAGATGAGATTAATATTGTTCCATCACAAGAATCATGGTGCTTTTAAAATCTTTACCCAGAACCTCCTTAGTTTCCTTCACTTAGTATGGCTGTGAAAGGAAGTCACTCTTTTAAGGAGAAAAAAGGGACTCTTACTCTTTGAAATCAATTGTTCCTGGTCGGTAAGAAGCCCTCTTAGTTCTGGGGTTGTAGACAAGAATAACCCATACCAAGGCCGAGCATATAGTTGTCAGTTATTTCTTGATGTCGTTTTAGTTGTTCTTTAAACTACTACTGGCCTTTACTATTTCTTTAGTTCAGCTAGTTTTGTCATTTCTTTTTAAAATGGCTATAATACTATTTCAATATTGTTTTATTTTAATAATTTTAAACTTTAAGAAATCTTTTATTAGTATTATTTTGCAAGATAATAATGATATATCTGTGCCTAGAAACAATAAGATAGCATGTAAACGTCTTAGTCTAGTCATATCTGACTTTATGGTTTTCAAACTTCATTTTGTTTTAATTTTCCCATTACATTAATTGAGAATAAGTATTGTATTCATAATCTCTCAGGGAAATGGAGGGATAGTAATAAAGTAGTACAACTCTTTAAGATTAATTTATTAATGAGCTTTTAGTAGCTGTTAGGTAATTTAGGCTGTTTCCATGCTGTGGATTAGTCTGAGTGGAAAATGCAGAAACCTCTTAATTTTCTGGATGATCAGTGCTGTAATAAATTTGTTTCACACTCTCCTAATTGGTGTAGGGCGTTCCATTAGGGTGTATGAACATGTCTTAATTTAAGAATAATATACTAAAATAATTTTTCTAGTATGAAAAACAATTTCTTACCTGTGGAATTGGCCATGGGGGTTGTTGATAGGGAAATAATCCATTGTTGAATGGTGGGAATGGCTAGAGAGAAAGAATCAGAGTTATATAGAAGTGAGAAAAATAAATGCAACATGAAACAAACTGAATATAGTTATTTGAAATTTGGTCTATATTTCCTTTTACATTAAATTCTTTCCCCCTTATGTGTGTGTTTTAAAGACAGAGACGGTAATAATAATTACTATTATCAAACAGTTATGGTCCAAGCACCATGCTGTTTTCTATTATTAAATTATTTTAGACCTCAGATAACTGTCAAAGATATGTTCTATTATTATTCCCATTTTACTCAAGAATCTGAGGGTCAGAGAAGTTGTCACTTGCTCAAAATCTTATAATGGGAGAGTGATTGAAATCAATATTCAAAGCCAGGGGTATCTTTTTATTGGGATTTTGGATTCCCTATACCTATCATTGCATGTAATGATAAATGATCCAATGACAGTATTTTTGAAGGTGAAGTCTTGAGAAACCATTTGTACATCCTCCAGCTTATATTAGGACTATACTTACATCATCCTGAAGTACTAGAAACAATGCTAATTTCAGAGCAACTGTTTAAACTATCAAAATATAGATTTAGAAAGAACTTAGAGACCAATCAGTTTATTCATAGGGACATCATTGTCTAGAAAGGTGAAGTGACTTGTCCACTACCATAAACTGGGGATAGTCCTTGAGCCTTTCTTTTTTTCTTTCTTTCCTCCTTTCTTTCCTTCTTTTTTTTCTTTTTAATTTTCTTGTTTTTTTTGAGACAATGTCTCACTGTGTAGTTTCAGGCTGGCCATTAGCTCACTATGTAGCCCATGCTGGCCTCCAACTTGCAGCAATCCTCCTGCCTCAGACTCCCGAGTTCTGGGACTATAGGTGTGTGCCACTGTACCCATTGAGACTTTGTTTCTTTACTCTTACACTTACTGTCATTTTGTTGTGATGTATTGGCTCCATATTTTTAAAATATCTTTTTTTGTGTATGCATGGTACTGAGAGCCTTCACACTGACCTCCATCTCCAACCTTTTAAAGGCTTATTTTATTTTGAGATAGTGTCTTGCTAAATCTAAGTTGCTCAGGCTGGGGTCAAACTTGTGATCCTCCTGCTTCAGCCTCTGAGAATGCTGGGATTATAGGCATGTACCACCATGCCCAGATAAAAGGGTCTTCTTTAAAACAACAATATTTAGGTGATTTTTAACCAGACAAGGCTAGAATTGACTTGTCAGGCACTTTTAGATAAACATCAAAACTAAACTAGATATTGTATCACCACATGGAGTGTCTGTACTACATTTTGGAGGAAGCCTGTATGCAGAGGTGGTGGGGCCCCCAAATCCCTTTCCAGCCTTTTTATGATTCTAATCTGGAGTTTCCTGGGCAGGCCTCACCTGTGGTGGTTGGGTGTCCACCTTGCCCTTGGATGGGTCTTGTGGTGGCTGATTTAAAGGCTGCTGTTCTGGTGGCTTTTGTGGCTGAGTCTGGTTGGGCTTCTGGGTCTCTTGGGTTGGATCAGCCTTGGTCTGGTGTTGGGGTCCTGGGGGGTTCTGCCATCCACTGGGCTGTGGCCACATGGGGGGCATTGGGTACTGTGGATACGGTGGTGGGATTTGGAAGCCACCTCCATAAGGGCCCATCTGAAAGAGCAGCAGAAACAGTGACATCGCCTTAGGGCTGAGCTTCAGATTCCCCATCCTCTAAACCCAGCCAAAGAGCTCAACGATACAATGGAACTTGACTCAGCAACAGAAGTTTCAAGATCTTCAGCAAGAACTTTAAGTGCTGTCTTGCTAAAATGAACTTTAGTCTTCCAGAAAAACCAACCTAATCAAAAGGCACAATTCAGTGAGAAATTTCAGTTTAAGAATTTGATGATTTCTAACTCTGAAATCTGACTCAGGTAAGGACTGTACTAGGATAGGTTACAGGGAATTTGATATCAAGTTCAGAACTCACATGACTTGTTACCAAGCTGGATAAAGAGACAAAAAACAGAAAAAAGGTAAAGGATGTGAGACTGTAAAGCAAAATAGAAAACAAACAAACAAAACCAAAAAATAAAAACAAAAAAGAAGAAAAGAGTAAAAATTGCTTGTATATACACCCCAGTATTGTTCCTGTGCTTGTTGGCTATAGGTGGATTCTCATTAATTCTGCTTTTGTTATCAGGATCTCTATAATTGCAAAGTTGGACAGGGTAGCAAATGTACTTATAATTTGAAAATGTTAATTTATGAATTGACATCAGTCTAACAGTGTCAGCCTCCATTTAAACATTTCCTCCATGATTTAATGCCAGTCTCTATCCCTAATCTTCATTAATTATTCTCTATTTATTGGATAATTACTCATGATGTAGTGCAGTGCAAAGGTTATGAGAATTAAGATTCAGGATTTTATGGGCTGGAGATTTAGCTCAGTGGTTCTGCCGCCCGCCTCACAAGTACAAGGTCCTGAGTTTGATCCTCGGTACAAAAAAAAAAAATTCAGGATTTTATGAAAATTAAGTTGGTGAAAATGTCAATCCATTGGCAAAGGCACTGAAAGCAAGAAGAGACTGTGAAAAAGTTGGGCCAACAGAAGTTGAGGATGAGAATATTGAAAATGATGATTTTAGGCAAGAGTATTCAAGTGAGAATGGCTTTTATTCAAATGAAAGAGATTAAGAGAAAATTACTGAAGTCCTTGATGCCCCAGTCCCCCAAATGGCTGTCACTATCATGTCGAAAAGTCAGAAGTGACATATTGTATTATTAGGCCATCATAAATTTTTGTCAGAAAAATTATACCAAAGGAGCCAAGTAACACTGGATTCATGTATTAACTTGTTCTAAGAATTAACATTGATAAGAATAACCAACAATTTCAGTATTAACTTTCAAAATAATAAATAAAATTAGCTATTCTAACAGTATTTACTAAGCTATTATGTTGTCATTATTTGTGGAACTGTCTTCTGTGATCTTTTTCCAGAATCAATTTTTCTTGGATATAAATAATCCTTGTAATTAATAAATGATTTTGGTTTATAGGAAAAGAACAATAGTAATGAATAAGGAGAAAATTTGATGTGAGGGGACAAGTGAAATGATTTTCTGTCCTTGAACCTTTTATAATGATTATATTGTAATTTAAAGACCTGAACGGCTACTGTCTGTATTAGCTAAGACAAACATTACAATGTAGCTCTTTGGGTGTAAACAAGAAATCCTTAGCAATAAACAAAGAAGAACTTACAGGCGGGGGGTGCATATAGTTGAATTGACCATAGCGCATCATCTGCAATGAAAGGAATTCATTAATGTAAGCTAAAGTGAAAAGTTTCTTCAGTTGACAAGGGATCAGAAATAAGTTGAATTTCTGATTTTAAGGTAGGTAGTCATAATGTCTTTGAGTACTTATACACAAATTTACAATAAGTGTGCCTTTAAAAATTTCTGGGTCTTTTAAAGACAGGATTTAATTTTGAGAAGAATCAACATAAGATAATTTAAAAAATCAAGTCTACTTCAAAGTTTTGAATATTCTGTTCTATTCATTTGGTGCTCAAGATTTGAGAGCAACATAATTCTGTGATAAGATGATTCTTTGTGATGTGTACTAAATTTGGCTAATCCTTGTATGAGTTATATAAAAGATATGCTTAAGCATCTACCTTCTAACATTTGGTACAAGTGGCTAGTTTTGCTAGTTAACAAAATTAGCCAAGAAGCTGGTATCAATTCAATTTTAAGATAAATCCACATTTCATGAAAAGCAATATGGAAGCACGTAAGTGGAATCATATTGATAGAAATTGCTACTTTACCTCATTTAGGACTTCAAATCTTCCTGCCTTCTTTCATAAGAAATTTCATATATCAGAAATTTTGTCAGTATACTCATCTTTCATGAACGTCTACAGTAGGATGAGACTCTGGAAAACTTCTCCTCTGGTGCTGAGCATACATACCTCCTCACTTTTGCTGCTAAATCCAGGCATTCGGGGCATGTACATCTGGAACTGAGAGAAGACAGTGACAAATGAAGACCTCAGTGCAACAAGCCCCACTTTTGCCCTCAGGCTGTGCAACAACAGAACACAAAGGAAAGGTTTAACAGTTAAGAGATACTCACTGGCATAGCTGCAGAATTACCAAGCAGACCTAGAAATACCAAGAAGATCTTCATTTTTCCATTTGGTACCTATAATACAAAACTGTATTATTTTTGGACTTAGAAATAACTATGCATAGGACACACTGCAGCTACTTAGGTACTAGCCTGCTTGCCTGTATTCCAGGAGAATACAGAAATACGGGCGTCTAGTGCCATTTCATTGTTAAGAAACTGTTAGTTATTATCTGGTACTGTTCTGAGCTGCCTAAAGAATCAGATTAAAAAGAAGGATGAGAGGGATGGAGGGAGAAAGGGAAGAAGGAGGGAAGGAGGGAGGGAGAGAAAGGGGGGAGAGAGGGAGGGAGGGAGAGAGAGAGAGGATACTTGAGAAAATCATGACACTAAAATGTGGAAATTAGAAATTAGGAACTTACCCGAAAAATAGGAATATTTATAGTTTTGAGTTTCTAGGTGGCAAGTTAGTTTACAAACACATAGAAATATCCAACAACATTCATTGTATGGAATAATCACAGTTTTGTTTTGAGACAGGGTCTCTCTATGTAGTTCAGGCTGGCCTTGGACTTACTGTGTACCTGAGGCTGGCCTCAAACTCAAGGGATTCTCTTGCCTCAGCCTCTTGAATGCTGAGATTACAGGCATGTACCACCATGCTTGGTAATAATCACAATTTTAATGAGTGCACATTCTAAAATTAGGACTTTATACTACTTTTTAAGATGTTAAAGACAACATGCCATTATAGAGAAGTTAATTTGTATTCTAATTAGATGGAAAAATTCTATTTTTCCTTTTTTTCTTTATTCATTTTTCTATTGTATAATAATGTTAATTATTATTATTTTGTCTTTAAAAATTGCTTTTGTTTAAGGGCTAGTTAGGACAATAAGAACAAATACCAATAAATGTAAATTTATCTCTTTGGTAGATCAATAACAGCTGAAACTAGTGTGTGTAATATAGGTTACAACAGCACAAAGAAGCTAAAAATTAGAATGCTGGTGTAGGTTTACCCTTCTAAATATTCCTAAGATTATGAGTCCAGATTGTGAGGAGCTTTGGATATTTAATTTCTCTCCTGATTATCTGTCAGTTTCCTCTCTATTGTGGCCATAACACCCTCTTGATAACTTGCATACTCATGATGTATGTGGCTTTTTATTTTACAAATACTCATCACCAAATGCCACTTATTTTCTCTTTTATAAAATTAGCATGTTATCTTAGATGACTTTTAAAAACCCTTCTCCCTCTAAAAGTGCATGATTGGATAAAAATTTATGATTATTTTTTGAATTGAAAGTAGTTTTCATTGATTGCTATGAAGTACAATTCATCTGTGAACACAGAAACTCTGGTTCTTCTGACATATTAAATAGTGTTTTGTTCACTCAGCTATACTTCTGATAATATTTAGTTTGATATATTAGATACTGGGAAAAATAAATGAGAATACTCACCAAGTTACATAGCTTAGGAAAAGAGGCTCCCTTTCTGCACTGAAGCAGCAACATTTTTTCACCAAAACTTTCATAAGCCTTTGGGAAAAAAATAAAAGATTTAGGAGCTTAAATACAAGAGATGGAAGAAGTAAATGAAACAAATAGCAAAGCATCACCTCTGAGCTAGTGCACATCATGTTGATCATTTTACCTAATCATACCTTTATTAGAGAGTCCTCAGCATCAAGATTAATCTTCTTTGCTTTAAGATTAGGGTGAAAGCTAAATCAGAGAAAAAATGACATAGGCATTATATTTTGAGATACTTCTAGTGCAGTGTTGACAAAACTTCACATCTTTATAGAGAAATGTGCAAATGTACAATATCAAAGGAAGTCTAAGTAGTTTGGAAGAAAACCTGTAAGAAAAACAAACGTATTAAATAAACCAAAGAGTTTAAACTTTTATCAGATTAGTCTACAAAATGATTATACAACCAAAATTAAGGAATGCATAAGGAAATCAGTTAATATCTATAAGTTAAGTTCATTATTTGGCACTTTGTATTTTATGTTAATAATTTCTAATACTCACCCAATGCTGGTTAGAAGCCGCAATGTGTGAAAAAATAAATTTTTACTTCAACTTTGTTAGTCTGTCTTTGAAATAGACTCTTAATGGTCTGCAGTGGAAATGACTACAAATTGCTGAAGTCAGGGAGAGCTAAGGAGCAAGATACATTTATTTCTTAATAACAAAACAAAAATTCATGAAGATGTGATATTGAGTACCAAAAAGGCATAAAATAAAAAGATTCCTCCTTGTCAGAACCCTTGGCATAGCAAGATCACATTTAAGCACTGTTGTAGACATGTACAACCAATCAGCTTTGAGGAAAATGGTTTTGCCATCACAAGAGTTTAAGGTAAACACACACACACACATTCAATGTAAAATTCATAATGTGTTATTATAGGAGCTGTCAAATCAAGTCTCTTATTATGCGTAATAACAGTTTGGGAAAATGAGCTTACAGCAGTAAGATTTAAAAGATGCTTTCCTTGTGAATTTGAGTTTTGAAGTATAGAGAGTTCATTTATACAAATATATTTTGGGAACAAAGGTGAATATTAACTACATACTATTGTCATAAATCATTGGCCATCATCAAAAGACAGAACAACATATTTAATTTCACCTATTTAATTAATATATTGTTAATCTGTAATTAAACTGGAACATTATAGCCATGACCAATTCAATGACTTGATTTGGTTTATACTATATGAAGCCAGTAGGACATAGTTTCTTTTTTTAAAGTCAAATATAATTCATCCATTGGGGATTTAGAATTTTAGAAGACCTAGGTAAAATGGGAAGTGAATTCTCAGCTATTCATGATAGTACAACCTCATGCAAGCAGGAATTGAGAAATTCACTACAGGAGTTATATTACAGATTTTTTTCTGCAATCTGACTTTTCTTTGCAAAAATTTCACTTCTAAATAAATCCAGCTATATTTTTCACTGACACAAGCAAGCTTTGTTGTCTTGGCTGAAGTTGGATTCTCCTGTTATCTTATGGCTCCACCAGAGTAGACAGTTGCTGTGGTGATGTTTGCCCAGTTTAATGCTGGCATTGAAACATTGAGAATGATTGAATGGGTTCTACTTAGTGAGATTCTGTATAGAAATATATCCAGTGGTTGCATGTGGCACTATTCTTCCAAGCCACAGGAAGGTCTAGGTCTTTCATCTTGGGCCAAATAACTCTGTATTTATTAGCACTCTGACTCCCCAACTTTAGTGCCAAAAAAAAAAATTGTACTAGAATAATCATCTTTAAGCTAAAATGTTTTATTTTATTTTATTTTTTTTTTGTACCGGGGATCAAACTCGGGACCTTGAGCTTGTGAGGCAGGCGGCAGAACCACTGAGCTAAATCCCCAGCAAAGCTAGAATGTTTTAAAAGCCTATGTATCAAACATATGAAAAGGTATATCTATTTCAATGTCTGGCTGCCTTTATCTTATTCTGCAGAAATTATAATACTGTGTGTACACTGAGGTGAACTTGCAAGCAACAGGACACCTGGAGAGCGCAGTGTATTCTCAGAAGTGCAATGAGGCCTATGCTGGATGGCCTGAGGCCTGTGCCATGTACACGGGGGTGGGGTTTTGTTTTTGGCTTTAGCATACAGAGGTTATAGAGAGTTGCCACTAAATCTCACTTTTGGTTGCTTTCTCTAATTATCCTTGTTCCTTCTGCCACAAGGGTGCTTGTTGGTCACAAAATAATCTATATTTCTAAAATCCAGGCAATGCATTTCAATGAGAAATGGATTGAGAAATGGATTGGATTGAGAAAATAACCAAATCTTTCTTTTTCTTTAAAGAAAATACTAAAGAAATGCTCAACTCTATAAAATGTATTGAAGCCAGCCCTCCTTGACTTTTCCCCATTTACTTCAATCATCACTTCTTATTTTATAAATTCTTTTCCTCTCCACTTGCCACTGTTTGTGAACATGTTTTATGATTTGACTTTTTAAATTTTTTGTATTTTTAAAAGTGTATTTCTTTGTTGTTTTTCTTCTGTTTCCCTTCTCATCCATAAAAAAGGCATTTGAACCTCGGTTTTGTGAACTCAAGAAATCTTATATAGGAATTTGTGCATTGTACTCTTCTCTCCCCTGCCCCTGGCCTAAAACAAAACACATCTATCAAAGGTCTGTGACCTCCTTACTTTTGTTTGCTTTGAATCTTAAGATCTTCCCATTAATCTAGATTTTAAGTTACTAGGAGAAGGAAAGTATTTTTATTTCTTCTTCTTAGATACAGTAGAAAGAGGTTGGGTTTTGAGCTACCAGACCTGAGTTTAAATTTCTACAGATTATCCAACTGTCCAATTTAATGTTCAGTAAAATGGAGGTAACATAACTTGCTCCATATGTTTCCTCTGATATGTAAATGAAATAATATATGTAAAATGCCTGACACCTAGTAGATAACTGTCAGTAACTAATTCATCAATACATCAAGGTACTTTTATTTTTTAATTATTTGTTTATTTTGGTACTGAGGAGTTGAACCCAAACCCTTCACAGTGAGCTATATCTCCAGCCATTTTTAAATTAAAAAAAAATTTTGAGACATGTTTTTGCTAAGTTGCCCAGGCGGGGGATAAACTTGTGGTTCTCCTGCTTCAGCCTCCCATAGTGCTGGGATTACAGTGAAGGCACTTTTGCAGTTCTATAGAATATGTTATATGGTTTACTAATCATTCAACAGTAATAAAGAAAGTCATAGTTCTCAGAAAAAAATAGATCCTCTTCTCAGCTTTTGAGCTGAAGCTCTTTTGAGCTGAAGTTCTGTAGATTATTAGCAGCAGAGCACTCCAACACAGCAGGGTCACAGAATGCAGAATCTAATACAAAGGAGCTTGTCAGCCTCCATTACTGGTGCCAATAGTGTCTCAGCATCCATAACTTCTTTGAAAACATCCATATACCACATTCTTAGGCCCTGAAGGTAAGACGCTCGTCTAATAAAAAGTCAAGGAAAGGTAGTTTAATCTCACGTATTAAATGATTAATAATGTTTTATAATAGTTCCTGAGTGGCATCTTCATGTGCAAACAAAGCCCTGGCTTTAGGCCCACACATCCTGCATAGGGTATTAGGACAGGGAACTTTCTGAGTTAGGACTCAGGAGTGGGTCCAAATTCTGGTTCCCACAAATTTCTTGTTTTACAATTTTGGCCAAGTGATTTAGTCTCTCTAAACCTGTTTCCTCATTTATAAAATGGGGGACAAAAATAGTATACTTTTTATGGGTTTGTTGAAAATTTAATGAGGTAATTCTTTTAAGGTTCTAAACATTATATGTAAGTAAATAGGTAAATAAATGTTACTTATTATTATTAGAACTGTCTCATAGTTGCTTTATTACTGACCACTGACACTTTTCCTAAAGATTTTTGAGGAATGTTTCTCCTCATTGTGGTTATTTATTCATAAAGAAAGAAAGAGAAAACAAAAAACTTCCAAAAGCACAACTAAGCATCTACACAAACAAAACAGAGAAAAAGAAACTGGATCGTAAAGTTGATCCGGTTTTACCAAGTTCCTATCTGGCATTTGGTCTGCAGGCGGGAAAGCTACTCAGCCGTGCAGCTCTGGGGATAACTGTCTGGAACACCTTCAAGGTGGTGTTCACTCTGAGAGCCCTGAGCCATCAGGACTCTTTATGTATCTTCAGGGTCAGTGTTTGAATGTTCAAATCAAAGAAGTCTGTCTTGTTCTCTGCCTTCCTTCTTCTTGAGTGGAAAACATAACCCAGTGGTTAAGAACACAGGCCTTGGAGCCAGAAGTCTTGTGTGCTTGCATTAGCATTTGATTCACAGTAAGTGTTTCTTACGGGTTGAGTTTTTGTTTCTCTTCTTGAACTTCATATAAACTGTTGTAATGTAATCTCATCATGGAAGTTATAGCTTATATTTGATAATTTTTTCCATAATTTTGTTGGTTTAATTTCTCTTTTCTATAAAAAAGAGCTATATAACATGCTGTGTTTCCTTATTACTCTGATTACTAGGAAACAAGGGCTAAATTTGATGTTTGAATAACAGTGGATGTAGGTTATGTGAGGCCTACACAAAAATTTAAGGGATCTTTTATAGAAAAAGAATATGCTGGGCATGGTAACACATGCCTGTAATCCTACACTCTGACAGGCTGAGGCAGGAAGATTGCTAAGTCCAAGCCCAGTCTGAGTAACTTAGCCAGAAAAAAAAAAGTCTGAAAAAAAAAAAAAAAAAAGGAGCCGGGGATGTAGCTCAGTGCAAAGGACTTGAGTTCAAGCTTTAGTACTGCAAAAACAAAGCAAAGCAAAACTAAGCAAAAACAAACAAACATTAGTACAAAATGCATTTAGTAGAAAAGCAAATATTTGTTTTGTTTTGATAAGAAACAAAATTGCAGCAAATTTCAGATTTTAAAAGGTAACAAATAGTACAGACACCACAGTATTTAGAAAAACAACTTGATATTTTTTTCTACTGCTTGATGAATT